TGTTATTCGTGTGCACGCACAACGTCCAGTTTCAATTCAATGGTGAATTATATCGCCAGATAGATGGGGTTGTAATGGGGCCATTATTTGCTGACACGTTTATGGCCAAACTAGAGAGTGATCCCCTGGAGCCCTATATCAGACAGTGCACCCTATATTGACGTTATGTGGATGATGTGTTGTACTTATCAGACGCGAATGTGGACACCAATCGATTGCTTGAGGAGTTCAATAATGTCCACTCGAACATAAAATTTACTCTGGAAAAAGAAGAAGATAATGGTCTAGTCTAGTTCTAGACATACTCATAAGACGCCGCAGCGATAGGTCCGTCCAGTTATCGGTGCATATAAAAGCAACGTGGAATGAACAATATATCCATTTCCATAGTTTTGTCCCTCTTTAGAGGAAGAGAAGCCTAATCCGCTCATTGGTTCAAAGAGCGACGAAAATATGCACGAGGGATACTATCGACAATGGAATTCACTTCCTACGTGCTGTTTTTGTTCAGAATGGCTACCCCGAACGATTTATCGATAGGGCAATGCTAGAACACGAGGAACGGCCAAAGGAAATAGGAGCAGTGAAGAAGTCTGTCTATGTGCACCTACCGTTCAAGGGAGATACGGAGGCAGAAGTCTTTCAAGGAAGCTAACAAGTTCAGTAAGCAGAAAATTTTACGTTGCACAATTCAGAGCTATGTTCACATCCAAACCAATTATGTGTTTCCGACTGAAGGATAAAGTGCCAGATTCTGCAGCCTCATTCTGTGTATATTCATTTACCTGTTCCTCTGGAACTGGGTACATTAGCCGCACGACCAAGCGCTTATCCGATCGCGTTCGCGAACACCACCCCACATGACTGAGGACTGGAACAATTAATTATTTTTTATGTTGAATGGCAATAAGTATAAATTAATGAAATGTAATCCTTTTTCTTATACAGACCTCTGCCGACGTGCCTTCGTCTTCTGCTTGTCAACGAACTTTCCGCCAATCTTCCGCTGCAGTTCCATCGTATTTACTGCGCTTCACTGGTCCGACTTACGCAGGCCGTTTTGGAACTCCAAATGTGGTCAACTCCGCAAGCGACCGAGCGTCCTCTTCGATCTGATACCGGTGCAGATACCTCCACTTCGTCATCCGCATCGTCCCAGTTCCATCTCAATACAATCTGGCCAATCGGTCGTCTGAACGGAGAGCGCAACATCCGAAAATCACTGTCCTCCACGACCAACACGAACGACTCATTTTCATTTGATACGTCTGTGCAACAAGTGATCAGATTGTGGGTAGACGCCTTTCTCGGTTTGCCCAAATCCCTTGCCCGTGAACCCCTGTACAGAAATGCCTGTCTCACAGCGCATTGGCCCTATGTTTCCGGGCGGGCGAATATGTTGGGCCACCCGGAGCAAGGAGCGTTGTTAATGGACATCATCGCCCTGGGTTTGAGTGCTCCAAGTCTGCAAACCAACAGTAGTCTGTCGGATAGGGGGCTCGTACCCCGGTTGGATTTGCACCCAGTCTGGTATCAGTTCGTGTTTTCCACATTATTCTGTTGGGGTGTATATACACCGCATTTGACCCGCACTGTGGTACGGCAGATCTGTGCCAATTTGAGCTGTCTGGGGCATCAGGTACTGGATCGGACTTACAAATCTGGGTCCAGGTAGGCGTTTGATATTTCTTTTATACGTGTTTATTGGCGAGCTGCATTGACCGGATGTGTTTTTGTAACATTATTCTTGCAAACTAGAGAAACTCCGCAGAGAATTCCAAAGATGATATCGTTTTCCTGCAAATTGCTTTCTGCTTTTGGGGTTTCCGATGAATGCACGTCAGTTTTAAACCAGGTGCCTTTTTCATTATGTACCGAATTTCTTCAAAAATTCGATACAACTGTCTAACTCATTCAAATTGTTTGTTTTCATCTTATGATCCACCGGACCAACTTGATGGTATCTTAGATTTTGGTTAGCCGTACGCCGCTGTCTCGCACTGTTTTTTATCAGATAAGCATTCAGATCTATTCCGTTATTTGGTATTTTATATGCATTCCGTAAACGCTGTAATCTGATGTGTCCGTTTCGAATTACGCTTCGAAATCTGTGCATGCATTCATACATTCATTCAAATCCTGAACACAATCGGAAATTTTGTGCCACTTTCTTGGTTCTCAGTCAAGTCCATTCACGTTCGTCAATCATGACATGGGAGGGAGAAGCAGAGCATTCATGCAGGGTTGTCGTACAACATAGGATTCAGTTTTGTGACCGGTAATGAACATCAGTTGCTAATACATACTTTTTAAATTTGGCATATAACTTGTCCCTGCTTGTTCTTCCGCGACAATGGTGCCTCATCTGACTTCTCAGTTCGAATAATATCTTGTTATATTCCCGAGGCAAACACTGCTCGCAAGTGGTTCAGGTGACCATGGGGTTTGTGAGTGCGGGTGAATGAGCCTTGTGTGATCGGTGCAACTGGCACATGACAGGCTTGTGTACTTATTTGGTATAACCACGTGTGTTATCTTTGGTGTGTTGCATGGAAGTTTTGCTCACAGTTGTGTACAACTCGCTAGTTTCCTCCTGCTATCTGAGAGATCAAGATCTCATGGAAGAATTCGTCATGTATAAAGCGGATGAAAGGTGAACGGAAACGCTAAGAAGCATTGTACAGATCTCGATCTAACCTTTTCGTGACACACACATTCAGAAACTGCGACTTCGAGTCGTAAAGTTCTTCCTGCATATGGACAGCAAACAAATAAACACGGTCAAAGGACATCGATTGTGTGTTTCCTCCATCGCAGACCGTGCGACCGAGGCTAGTGCGGTGTTGATAAGACCCATTTTTCGAATCATGGCCTCCAATGCTCACTTACTTGGGTTCATACCAGCGCTTGCCGTAAATATCATCAACTATACCATTTTAAGGTTGATTTGAGAAACTATCATTGCCAAGCCGTCTTTTTGAATTGAGAAATCATCACTTGGAACCGAGAAACTGTCTCTTTGAGCTGAGAAAGAAATGCAATGGTTTGATCCGCTTCCGTTCAGCACACCTTATTGGTCAATTGATCACACTTTTTTCCACCTCCCAACGGACCACCTGTCTTCCCGCGCTCTTTCTGTGTTGAAAGGAGGCAGACCTCGGTCGTTCATCTTGTCGAGCTCGCTGGCGGACGTTGAATCGGTGGTTTGGTGAAGCCGTGCGAGTGGCGTGAGATAACTAAGCTGGACGCAGCTCGATAAGCATGAAGGGTGACGCACTGTTTCGTGCGCAATACAGCTAAAATATAACTGTTCATAGTTGCTCGGACATTGACGATAGCTCAATCAACAAAGCTTACCACAGTAACTACGACCAGGAACGGGTTTTGTACTTAAGGTGTACTCCAAGCGATGTACTTTTCATCACGTGTATCATAAGTCTATTCAAATATAAACATTTGTTCAGTGACAGGTTCAAGTTCTTTAGGTGAACGTGGGTGACTAGGTTGGCTTTCATCAATGACCTCCCAACTAAAACCAGTTAGACCTTAAGTGTAACTCGTCCATTCCTGGCTCAGCCCACAGAACTGAACGACAAAGAACGCAGTCGATTCGTTTGATGAACTGTTACTCGTTTCCAGAAAAAATAGTTTTGCATAAGGAACGTCGACAAATGACGTAACATTACGGCGGACATTTTTTCACGAGGTTGCGGTTAGCAAACAGACTGAGTTTAAAATTAATGACTACTGTGGGGATTCTAATAATAAACTATGGTAATCTCCCGGCAGAAATACAAGATAAGTCGACGGAAAGGAACATCAGTATTTTTTATTTTGGATTTGTTGATAAGGCCAGTGATAGTCAGTCAGTTAGTAGCTGGTAAATGGTGTGCTGTCCGCACCACCTCAATACCAAAGGAAGAAAAGGGAAAGTCTCACAGAAAACTGATCATTTTTGCTTTTTGGAGTATACCAACTTTTAACTCAATTAATACAAACACCCCATTGACACCGTTACAGCAAAAAAATCTCCGCTACATCTGATGAATTGTATGCACGACTATTTTACTGACTGATGCCAGTCCATGTGTCTTAATGGTCTTCCTTCCACTGTCAATGTAGACCAATTTTTCTCTCATTTAAGAATACCGACGATGTAGTGGCTGGTGTTGCAATCTTCCGGTAGAATTGCAAGAAAATTCAACGAAAATGTAAATCATTTGTATCTATAATTCAGGTTGACTCGCTGGTACATGGTGATGTTTGCTCCACATATGCTCAATGGGATTGAACACTGGCGAGTTTGGTGGCATCCTCAGCAGCTTTGCTTTACGATGTTCACTCTTAGTGACATTCGTGTTTCAGGGCCTTAAAATTAACCCAGTTGTAAGTGCTCCCTCCGTTGTGTCTCGCAACAACACACCAATCCTGTCCCTCTTCGAAAGTCTAAACACTTCACTTGCACACTGTTGTCAGCACAATTGTACCGGCCTCGGAGCATGATGGAAAAGTAAATAGAAGTGGACCCATAAAATGGTTTTATACCTCACACGCATAGGTCTCCTCTTGTCGTAAGCTTTGGGGTTGAGTTATCGTCAACGTTGATCACGGATGGCCCATGATTCACATGATCCCCGTGATGAAAAGTACATTGTAAGCCTTGAACTTGTCTCGTCGTAGTAAGCTTTGGTGCCTAAGCGATCGTCAATGTCCAAGCGAATATATTGATCGAGCATGACCCATGATTCACGTGACGAACTATACCCTAGCCCTGACGCGCATGAAACGGTGCGTCACCCTTCATGCGTATCGACTCGGGTCCAGATAAGTGTATAGATCACACGGCTTCACCAACCCACCGATTCATCGGATTCATTCCGATTTCATCTTTTGGTGTGTGCATTTGAAGAAATAGAGCAGAATTATCCCGAATCAAATGATTCAACACATCAACCATATGTACTGTTTTCACTTTATAAATACCTCTTCGCTATGTACTGTTTTTTTCCGGTTCGAACTTTTTTTTCCTAGAGGGATCGCATAATGTATTCCTGTGGCTTTTGTTTCTCTCAATTGACATTCATATCTTTCTCTCTGTTTCAACCAATACCCTTCTTTCTCTGAACAGAGGTCCACAGGATCTTCAAGCGACTAACGGAAGTGAGATTAAAAGTTCAGATTTACCCCACCTCCCGCCAGATTATGTTCTATCTTCATTGGGTTGTTTGCAAGGCATTTTCCACGCTCTGATGCTACCTGGTGGAAATGCAATTACTGCAGCCTTATTACGCAAATCTACGAATCCACTGGCTCCAGATCCTCCATCCGGTATTCCCAGTGCTTCGCATGTGGCCGGATTACCCGAATCAGTGACTGATGCAGCGTCGATTGCCAACTTGTTAACCAGCCTCGCCACCAAGAATGCAGCGATTGCGGTTGAGACAACATTCGAGTTTACGGAACCGCATGTTTTGTTTGGGAGTTCATCCGCTTTACCCAACACCGATAGTGTTCATATCCCCCATGATCCGGCGGTGCCGCACGCACCACAGAATGCCATCCCTGAACCATCTGTTATACTGGCTACCCCCACTAACAACCATAAACAGATAAACTCTTCATCCATGGGGGATTTGAAACTGGACCTCAAAAGTCGTGATTCAACCTCGGGTAACAATGGATTCACAGCTATCTTCACCAGTAGAGGCAAAGTATGTCAACCGATTGGCACACTGCCATTATTCGCCTTTTTTCTGCATCTCTTCTAACTCCGATTTTGCAATGTCGTCTTGATTTAGTCATACTGGATACAATATGTTCTTAATTCGCCTGTATTCGATTGCGTAAGAAATGAAGGACTTTGTCAATAACTTATCTCTCATTCATTGTTAAGGACCACTTGTGAATGGATTAAGTTAACATTGCATTGCATCACCGATCGCATTTCCATCGTGGATCTGCAGTCGATAGTCATAACACAGTTACTGTTACTATCCATTATTGTTTGCTGAATAGTTGTGGGCACAGAACTCATTTGTCACGAGGACCTGCCCTTCACTTACAGTAACCGGAAACCTTGGTTCTGGGAATTGTCGCTGCTGCAAATTCGAAAACANTCAATTCTTTTTATAACCGTCCGTTTTTATTTTAAATGATGTATGTTTAGAACTGATTGGAATCGAGATTTCGAGAGATCAACCCACCTTAAGAGCCTCTGATACCATATGATTCATTTGGCTTGTCCGGTCTTTGTTCGAGCACTCTGTGTTTCCTTTTCAAAAAATCGGTGACCTGTAAATTTGGTTTCATATAGAGGCTGATTACAGAACTGCAATTAATGCTGCTAGTGTCGTCAGAAAGGACATGAACCGAGCAGAATGGTTTGCGTTTGTCTCGTTGCTACCCAATATGGTTCACAAAGAGCCGACGAAAATCCTCAACGTTGCATCGCTATGTCAAACGGATATCTGCTTCTTTGAATGTTTCACTTGTCTTCTGTGTTTACCATCGGCTTCTGGTTTAGTCCTACCGAATCGCGGTCTATCACTTCCTAGTCCCCATCGTGATTTTGTTATTTTCTCTTTTCCAGCAATTTCGACGCGTTATTTCTTACTCAATTGAAACCTTACCGATATACCGTCAATGCATACAGTCCTGTGTTTCGATGATAGTCAACCATTGTTCCGTCAGTGACGCTGATGCGTCTGTTCACTCCAGGGACTCGGGATTACCGTGATGCTCAGACTTGTATTGGAGTGATCTAATCGCGTATAAGAAGCATTACAATAATTATTTACAGTGTATGTGACAATAATAAGGATACTAGATTTTTCCGATCCAGTTTTACTGTTGAAGATGCGCGGTAAAATAATTCGTTTTACTGCGTTTGTTCAAGCCGCTGTGTTTGAGTTAAATATCTGGATTTTTCACTGGTGCAAACCAACTACGAAAAACACCTTAGACCATAACTAATCAACTGTCTTTAGGTCGTCTAACGAATGAGAGGTAACATATCTGGTCCGTCAGGCTAAAGCTTTTCTCATCACTAAGCAAAACTTCTCTTAATTGGCGCATGTCGATGACACCGACACTGAGCTCCATCTTTGGGATGTGTCGAAGTGTCCGCCACAGAGTTCTTACTAAAACTGCTAATTCCGCTTTGTTTTGGAGCACTTTGCGCACAGGCTGTTCTGTAGTAGTCGGTGTTAATAACTTCGCGCTTTATTCTTTCGATGCGAACACTGCGGTGTCCATGTATTTAGCCTATTATCAAAACTGGTGAAGAGCAGTTAAGGATGAGCCGATATTCTCGATATGTCCGGGAACTTAGCAATATATCACGTGCCAATCCGCAACTTAACAGAATGTGAATATTCATTTTCTCCACTTTTGACAAATTACCGTCTCTCGCACCCGGGAAAACCAGGAAATTTAGCGAGCTAACTCTTCTTGTCCAGTCGTAATGGACATGGAGGTATCACCTGTCTATCGGTAATCTCACGACAAACAGTCAGTCACCGATGGAACTCTGGTTGATCATCGTCGATTGCCGCAACATGACAGAAAATAATCCAACGATCACAGAAACCTCACGTATGATCGGATTGTCTCCGTAACTGTTACGCATTTCATGGTAGTTAGCTATTAGGCCAAAATGAACTGTTCGACCTGAAGAGATTAGAGTTGGTGAATCTGTTCTCTCCGGATAGGTGCTGGTTGATACTGGTAACACTCATGCCTTTAGTGCATTGTACTCAATGCAAGAGCCTTAACAAGAGGGAGGTGCGCTTCAAGTGCTTTTCGAGTGCTCGGGCGACAAAATCAAATGAGATTGGTGCGTGAATTCTGAATTATGGTCAGTCCCAATCCCTGTCGCTTATGTCAGACCACCACTGATGTGAAATCCCGTACTGACAAAATAAGTTTAAGGTGATTGGCTTTATGTGTCTATTCCCCATAGACACTCTTGTTACCCCACGGCTTTTTTATAATTTATCACACAGGATCTGCTCACAGAAAATACTTCTCATCAACCGGATGCACATCCTCTTGTTCAAGCTCGAACTGAATTGTACCGGTTGTTACCACGGTTATTCCGGTGCTTGGCGGTTTTGTGGCACGCCCTTGATCAGTCACCTTTAGAATTGGTCCGACAAAGTGATTCCGCAATTAGTAAGTTTATTAGTTTACTCCTTCGATGTTGGAGAGCTGCTTTTTGCTCTTATATTGCATATTATCTCCAGATATTTCATACGGTGTTCCAGTTTTCCTCAACCAGATTATCCCGGTTTTGAATTAGTTGTTGGCATTTGTTGCCTTGGTTGAATTATGTCTATTTTAGATTGCACAGTATAGTGTGAACAGCAGGAGGCATGAAAGCCGTAATCACTGTGATCTACTGTTCACACAGAGAAACTAGCGTCAGGTAGCCTTTCAAGCGAAAGCAACAAACCACGCGCTGCTCCGGATAGGTCAGTGTCCAGTCAGTTGGTAGCAAAGCTATCCTTTACTACCAGTGTTCTGTATGGAATTTCCGTTCCATGCCATTACGACTACCCTAGCTCCGTGGTCGTTTACGTAATATTTGGATATTCGCAGATTGCCTGCGTTTTCAACCTACACTCACTCCCTAAGGTCGACATCTCAAAGGCTGAACAGTTTCAATTCGAAATGCGTCCCATTAATGAATCGTGCATCCGCTCGACATTCTTCCTGGTGATTCGCTGATTGACTGACGGTGTTCATCACCCAGATCTTGTCTTCATGCCGGGCGTTCGCGTTGCTCGTGGGCAGGTTCTTTGAATTCAGATATACGTAATGCCAATTTCCTTTTCCACTCCACTGTTTCGACCCCCTCGGTAAATGTGCACGTGTGATCTAGTAGTATTTCCGTTTAAAAATCATAGCCGCAATAAGTTCTCACTTCAGTGCAATTCGTGTCTTGTTCCGGCATATGTTTGTGATTATCCGAAGGCTACCATGGAACCAAGCAGAATTGGAGGAAGTAGTCAGTTTCGCGGTGGAGTTCAAACACAGATAACAAGAGAACAAAATGCCTGCTTTTGCCGCTTCACAATCATTGTCCATGTAGCAAAATGTGAATGACCCCGACCATGATGATGGCTGTGTTCTTTTATCTCATGAACCAGTGACTCACTTGATTTGGTTAACTCAGTTTTCTTGGTTTGTTTCGAATTCAAGTATACTAAGGCCAAATTTTATTCAAACTCGACCGAACATTTGGCACGCAACCATTTCACTAATATATGGATGAAGTACCGGAAGTGAAATATGAAACTGTTCGCTTTACGAGGTGAGTTTCTGTTCGGCGGAAGGTAACCACGTACATTTGGTTGATAACAAAACCTGTTCTACGATTCGAGACCTACATGTAGCTAATGGACTACTGGCAATATCACACAGCTCTAGATGAAGTTCTCCATCCGCTTCATATAGTTATACTGGTCCACACAGAACGCCGTTCTTTTCTAAATTTGAATATAACAACGGGTCACTGGTAGCGTGGACTACCGTCTCCTGAGTAAAGTGGTCGCACCATGAAGTTTGTTCATAATTGGTGGGTCATGTTGGACTACTCCACACTTCTTCATTCATTCTCTTTTGTTCTTAGAACTCCCCAGTTCGGGAAATATAGACGTGGACACCAGCTACGGGTTTGGCAGCATCAGACAGAATGATACCCATTCCGACTGGCCCCTTGTGGTCCCGGAACGGCTACCTGCTCTCACGGCTCTCGGCTGCCCCGAGTTGGTCCGACCTGCCCTTCGACTTTTCCTCGAACCGTTAGCTGTACAGCATCCCACCGCTTTCCTGTTGAATATTGCTTTAGCCTGGCCTTGTAGTCTACTCCAACCGGAACTGTATCCGGATGACGGGAATGGAACAGATCGTCCCATGGAAATCGGTGTCTCAGCCCCATCATTGCTTCGACTACTGACCCCTACGATCAAGGACAATCCAAGTTACACGCGTGCACTTTCCCAGCGGACTCAAAACGGTAAGTATTCGGATTAGACATCTTCATTGCATGCACGCAAACAATATGACAATGGAACTGAGGACAAAATTTAGGTAATGCTATTCTGGCACCAAAAGAATTGGGTCGATAAATCGCTACCGTACCTATGAAGCATTTTTGCCTTGCTGTTTTACTGGTCTACTGATTATCAATTTGATCTAAGTTAGAATCAAGATCAGTAGCATAAGGTGCAATCTCTTGTTCTCTCAGTGTCCTCTATCGACCGTTCAGAAAGGATTACAAGTTTACAATTTCTTCGGGTACCAAGTCTGGCATTCAACGTCTCTACTCGCGATTGAAATCGACTGATTATAATATGTCATTATCTTGGAAAATTGCACATTTTACTTTGCGCAATAACGATTCACCCATTATTCCCGCTGCTCTTTGGCAATACTAATACTGGTACTACTACCGTTGAAGGTAGAAGTTGCGATGTGTAAAAATTTAGTATGATCGGTACTGATCACCGGAGATAGTATAGGCTGCGAAAGGATTCCCGCTTGGGCTTCTCCCGAGGGCAATCTAGGATCACTGAGTTTGTGCAACTCTAACCTTAACAGTCGGGAGTTTTGGTTACTGCCCTCGAGCAACTTATTTGAGTGCGTGAATAGAATAAAGAACTATAAAGCTTGGAGCAGTACAAAGGTGGAGGTATAGATTCAGGTTCACTAAGGTTTCGGAAAATTTGGGTAGATGCACGAGTGCCACTGTTTGCGATATGGTCATCGCATTTAGCGTTTCTTATCATCAATTATATTGGTCCCTAGATCCCCAACCGGGGAGCCTGGTGCGACCCACATGATCGAATCCCCTGTTCAGGATTTTCATTCCATGTCTAGGTTTCATTTTCTTGTAATGATTATTTACCTCAGCAAACACCGCACGCAATGACAGTCTATTTAGTGAATTGCGTAACACACCCCAACCAGTGTAGTCTATGGGGGAGGAGTGCTTACTCCACTGAATGCTCGCGAGTACCTAATCTCATCATAGATATCTCAAGTTTGAAGTAGCCAAACCTTCTATTTGCGTACCCCGGGTCCTCCGAGTGTCTAAATTTATCTGCTTTATCTATTACTTCCCCAGTTAGAGTGAGGTTGGGAGCTGGACCGACCCAATCTTGTAGCGACATCCCACGTTCAGAAGGGGTAAATTTCATGTCGAACATAGCGCTCAAACTATCCAAACAAGGTTGCAATTAGCTTTGATTTTAACCTAATAATACAATGTCATCTGTATACTCGGAGCACGCCGATACCGCTATCCTTGCATTATGACAGAACTTTGTGCAGAGTGGTATCCATTACCAAGCTAAAGAGAAAAAGAGAAAAGAAACCTTACGAACGTAGCTTTTTGTGGAGAACTCGGATGCAAAACGCTTTAATCTCGAACACTAAGTGATGTGACTGGCTGTTGCAAACGGCGGTGCTTGTATACCTAGTCATTCGCTATGAACATCTAGTTGATCCGATTTCTCCTTCAATTCAGTTCAGTTTTTGCAACCATTAACCATGCACCTTCGTGCGGCGGTTTCGGTTGCTTTCTTTTGACTGCCCGTTTGGATGAGGAATAGGAAATAGATAGGAAGGTTGAAAGTAGAGTCGAACAGGAGATGGAGAATTTTAGTGGTCTAGGGTTGCGAAAAAATCGAGATGAACGAACTCCACTGTTTACGACACTCAGCCATATCACTCAAGGTCGTAAACAGTGGAAAACCATCTTTCCCATCCTTATCCCATCAACGTTCTTAGCGTTATACTCGTTTTATTTACTGCTTTACCCAGTGGTTAGTAACACATACCAGTGCACATTAGAACAAGGTATATGGTTTTAACCGAAAAAAAGTGAATATTTCCCCATTCATTTCGTTCGCTTAGGTTACACTTTACTTCCACCGACACTTAAACAGCAGTGGTTGTTTTGCTTTCAAACATTGCTTGTACAAACATCAGTTCAGCTATAGATAACGGTGTCAGTAGAAGTGGCGGTTCACTTCCATTCGCATGTTCTCTTTACTTTCACTTGACCCGGACTGAGAATCCGCCGTCAGTGTTCAGTATTGACTGACCTCTGTTTGTGTAGCGGATTTTGTCTTGTACACAGCAAAGTAAGCGTGAAATGAAGAACCACTGGACAGCTGTTTTCATCTAATTGTGTATCATAAACAATGCGAATCCATCGAACCAAATCAAGATCGACATCGGGACCTCACATATAGAACGCGGGTATGCTACTCACTTAACTGCCGGGCAGTTGACCAGAACGCTTTTCATCTAACCGATTCACGATATGACCCTTGCTATGTGCACGCCGAAGTCCTCTATATAATCCCTGTTTGTTCGGCTTTCCAGTACTCGTAGTCAGAGTTCGGTATGCTGTCCAAATGTACATACCACAGCTTATCGGCCACCGACTGCTCGGACAATCAAATGTAGCTAACACCGACCGCCTCAGAACCACTTCCGTATGTCATTGCACAATTCAATTGTGCGTGCAGTCTATCCGAGAAGTTTCCGATCCACTGGAAAGTCTGGGCCGTGAATCAATCGCCTCTTAGTCCCTAACTCGAATCCGACCAGCACACACTCAAATAATTAATTGGTAACCTTCAACTGGTTCTAGCCACGTTCATGAATATAGCTTGTTTTACATCAAACAATGGAAAGTAATTAGATGAATTGTCTAGAAAAAAGGATCATTGATTCAAAGGTTCTGTATATAGTTTCTTTAGCAGCTGTTTAGATTGTCCTTTGCTGTTTTCATTTCAGCGATAATTCTAGCTATCGTCTCTACTTGATTTACTGCATTGTGACCGCAATTTTTTCTCTCTGTGGTCTCACGCACGTGGTACCGTTTGATCTATGCCTGCGTGTGTGCTTGTGATTTGAGCTCAAGGTAGGGGGTTCAGTTCTACCTCACTCATAATCAGATGGCTTACCGGTATTGGTCAGTGACATTCTATTGTATTCTGATCGCTCTCATGTGTAGGCTTGCATTGCAGGCGTGCTTTTTAAAACGCGGGTATAATGCAAGGACTTTGACCATTGGAGTGTCTATCAATGCCATTCCATAACTTGTGTTATTTGTTTTAGTACTCGTATTGATCGGATAGTTACGCTGTTTGTTTAAAGATTGCTGTTCTTATCAAGCACAATGAAATCATTGCCATAAATTTATTTCTTATCGTACAGATACCCTTTTTGGCTCCAGAGGAGCTTTAAACAAACAAAACACGACTCAACGTCATCTGGTGGTCTTTTTTGCGCTGCATTTGTCAGGTCTTCCCAACCCTCTTCATTCGTCTGTTTGTACTTGATTTCGCTCGTGCATCCACTCGTTATTTTCCTAACACCACTGTATATGTATTCCCCATCTTCCGCTTCAATTTGCTTCGACATTCCAATCCTCATTTCGCTCTTTTATCCAAATGGGCAACCAAAACCGGCGCACGAAAGTGCACGGTTAAGGGTTGTAAAAACTGAAACTGAAACCGGTTGTAGATTCCCCAAGAAAATTCATCTGTTTTGGNCGGCGCACGAAAGTGCATGGTTAATGGTTGTAAAACTGAACTGACTGACCTGATTTCGCTGTACTAGGTGAGCCGCACTGAGGGGAGATGAGCTAAAACTGTTCTGATGAAAGTATTATTCTCAGCCCCTCTTTTGGCGCACGCGCTGCACATGCTTAAGTCGTCCAAATGTGTCACTATCACCTTCCGGGAGAAGGCGTATTTTTTGTCTTTCCGCAAATTTTTATTATTAAGAGATCAGCTGCTGCAACTTGATCCGACCAGGAAAGATCACCCATGCGTTCAACGACTGCGTAACCCATAGTGTTTGTAGAGCAATTTACTCTGTCCTTCTCCTCAGTCCATTCAAGTCTCACGTAAACTGGAGAGTAGTTAAAAACATTAATTGTGAATTAAAATTTTACTTTTAAATGATTTTCAGTCACGGCTCAGTTTTCGTTTCTGTTTCTACACTCTTATCATTAAGTTCAATACTTTCGGTCATATCGATTGAATACTTCTTCGTCTTGCAACGTGATATATTGAATAAAACTTGTAGGTAAATTCTGTGCACTTAGAGCGACTTAGTGTTCACTCGTAATAATTCGCTATCCTTGACTTTGTACTGGAGAAGCGCAAATCTCATTAGCATAGAATTATATGTCTACTGCTCACTACTGTCGGAAAGTGCTGCTAAGCAATTTCATGAGCCTCGCATGTTGTACGATCATCGATCGTTACAATGATTTGCGGGTTCCCCACCGAAGATAGTTTAGCTTATGTACCTGTTAGTAACCGTACACAAAGATGCACTTTAGCAGCATAACTCCGTGATATTACTAGGTGTACAAAGAACTCCCCTCATTCTTTATCGAAAGAAGGGCAAAAGGCAACATCTAAAGTGTTTATTGGTCTCCATCTAATTCTCAAACCCCGTTACACCATCCACACAATTTCATATTACGATTTAAACCGATTTACCTCCCATTTTTAGAAAGGTTCTTGAGCAGAACTGTGCGTCTCGATTAATCAAGCAGAACATTACGTCAATACAACATTATTTTAAGATGCATTTATGCAGTTCAATCCTGGTTATCTTGTCCTTGGTAATAAACTCATCTATTCTGATGAAATCGCAACCTAACGACTTTCTGTCGACCTCTAATGAATCATCTTGTTATCTTGTTTTTCTTCCTTCTCTTCAATTCTAGATCCAGGGAATCGATCTCTGACCCTGTTACCAGAGCAGATCAGTCTTCTCCGTCTTCTAAGCGGTTCCGTATCAAACGGATCCGGATTCGGTCTGATCCTACCCGTTTCTGTGTTCGTGAATCGACTGCGCGATCTAGTCCGTAGACCATTGCACAATACCATACTTTGTCACCCTCAGACCACAAACGGTTCATCCGCTACCAATTCACAGCTCTCCGAACCTTCTACTGAAGAGCATGTGAGTTGTCGTCTTGCTGAATTTGATCTCGCCTATCGGTCGGATTTACTCAGATTGCTGACGACTCACTGAAGTGCACCTCAAATGATACCACTTTGTCTACACATGCGAACTATAAAAAAAAATGCATCTTCTTTATCGTTGTAGGTCACCCACGTGAATCCACTCTAACGTGAATATAGACCACAAAATGTTTCCCTTAGGATAGGCCAATGGTGGGTCAGCAGCGCTCGATGGCTTCTTGGCGCGAATCGTGCAGGTCTTATTCTTGTGAACTTAGTAATTTTACACTTCCTCTGTTCGTCATTTGTAAAGCTGTATTTCATCCCCAACACTTTCTGTGATCACTCTATTTTCAATAATTGGTTGAAGTAGACACTCAAGTGCTTGTTTTGGGATATAGCGAATCGGGATCTCTGGTGTTATTTTCTATTGATCCATACCACTTGATCACNAACAGTGGCCCCGATCTCGTTTACCATCACTATTTTTCGTAGCCGATAGCCGTATTTTGAGTCTACCCTCGTATTTTCTCGTCTTTCCCTGTTCATATCGGACACCGATTGCGTAGCACAGGACAACCAATTCCCATGGGTCGCATATCCAAATAAGCTACCTAAAACCAACGGTCAGTGGAGCTGTACATTTTACAAAATGTGTCTCCAAGTTGTGAATGCGAGTGTGAAATCCACTTCTGAGTGACACTAAAATCACTCGGCTGGGGAAGATATTGACTTTTCATGATTTCTTTCCCAAGCTGTTCAAATATTTATTCAATCACACGCACGTGTGAATTGGAGGAAAGCCACTTAGCTATTTCACACAGAATAAGAGTACATTGCTTCTCTGAATATGCGGTTGAGTAAGGTTAGCAGTGATGCCCTATGACGTAACCTGGTTTTCGCCTCGCACGCAGTCTCGCTGCAAAAAAATCCACAAACTTCCGTTGCTAGCTTTGTGATTTGGGCAGACCGTACAGCATTCGCTTTATTGACTTCTATTCTGGGCTATATATCTTAGCATCTCTAACCGACGACGATCCTCATCCCTTGGAACCCAACCCGGAAGGCGGGTTCCACCAGTCCAAGCCAAAAATGAAGCTAACTTCTTCATACCTTCACGCCATGCCATGGTTTGATCCCTACGATAACCGTTCTAACCTTGCCCAGTGCGTGCAACAGGGGAAGGAAAGGTTGGCGATGAGCAGACATACGCGAAACGTGACCAAGCCATCGGGGGTGGTATAGAACGCGAACCTCATTTAGAGAATGACCATCCGCACCTAATACGACGACCAACCTCGTCTTTGCTCACCCCTGTTCTTACCAGAGAAGAGTAATGTTTTGGAGACATCGGTGATCGAATACATTAAGTTGATTAGCATCTTCCGCATGGAGAGACCAGGTCTCGCAACTATAAAGCAGAACACTAAAAACCGCGGCGATGTATACTCTTCCCTTAAGGGGCAATCGGATTTCATGGTGGCTCCACAGATGTTACACGTTGGCAGAAGCTGCTCTAGCTTTCGTTATTCATAATGTGATTTCCGCCCCAACACCACCATCAGCTGCGATCGAGCTCTCTGCCACTTGCAGCTGATCCCCACAAAGGGGAAGTGCAGGCACTGGCTCCTGCCAGTCTTGAGCAAACATTTTGATGGTGCAAAGCACATACCATACCTGTATACCACTATCGCCAAGTGGTTCAAACCGTTTTGAACTGCCTGTGAATTTTGATCCAATAGGGCGAAGTCATCTGCATATTCTCAGTTAAGAACTCTAGAAGGAGTTCGACTCCAACGTTCGCTAGACCGGACAAAGCACTCTTTAGAACATCCTCTATGTTGATATACGGCATCCTCGTCAAACTCTGCTGGAGACTGCCGAGGGTGGCGAAAGCTGACCATAGGCCCTAACCCGACCTGAGGTATGACGATACAGCTCTTTGAGGATCGATACTTCATTTCTCAACAAACAGTTCCATAGTGCGGTTCTATCGACGGAATCGAAAGCCGCACCGATTTCTAAGAATACAACGATCGTTGGTGTCTGATAGTTGCTCTAGCAACTACCGGAGGGTAAAGATATGATCGATGCATCCACGACCGGCGCGAAACCCAGCCTGCTTATCGATGATCTACTCTTCACGCATCTTG